AAGACACTTCTGAAGTGTGCAGAAGAGGCGGGGAGGGAACCTGTTTCCCTGCCCTTTCCATGCTGACCGGCCACCGCTCCTGGCAATGGGCTGGGGCATTGTCAGAGCATGTGGCCGCAGTCCAAGGGGCCAGGCCGGCTGGCAGCTCCCTGGGGACAACATTGCCTTGGTCACTGCGGTGCTTTAAGCGTGGCCACAGAGGCACTGTTGTCCCCTCTTCTCTGCTTAGATCCCGCTCCGATCCCGTTGTTCCCGCTGATGTGGAACTAGGGCAGGCTGGTGACTCAGCCTTGTCCCCACACTGCAGCAGTGGCAAGCGGCCTTCAGCTTTCGAGCCCTCGGAGCAGGGTGCCTGCTTGAGAAAAGTGGCGAGGAGACCAGGACAGTGATGGCCCCTGGGGACCTGGGAATGTCCTGTCCCCCCGGGAAGGTGGCCTGGCCAAGTCTCCTGGCAGCCTTGGGGGTGACGAGTCCGCAGGCTGGCACAGTCACTCGCTGCTTTGAGGCTGGGTCGGTACCAGGCCGGCCACTCCCCTGGGGCCCCTTGTGTGACTTTGCAGAGCCATCGGGAGGGCCCGAGGGAATTTCCCATCAGCTGGGGGGTGTGGGAGGCTGAGCGTCCGCCACCCCATCTCTGTACCTCCAGCCTCTACTGGTTGCTAGGAAGTTGGGGACTTCAGTCCATTCCAAAGCCCTGTCTAGGGGGCTTGGAGTGGGAACGGAGGGTTGTGGGACTGTGTAAAGAGGGAATAATCAGGAATAAAACATGAGTCATCAGAAGAAGAGACTTCCTCCTCCCCCATGGTATCTGGGTGATCACTCACCAAACCAGAGTCCCAGACAGCCGAATTTGCCAATCAAAAGCCCATTGGCCACGCGAATAAACAACTGAGTCTCCAAAGCCACAGCCGGAGTTCAGCTGGTGAGTGGTCATCTTGCAGGGTCCTAATTTCCGCCCTGTCCTTCTGCCTTCTGTGTTAGGGGCCGCTTCCCCCTGCCCTGGCTCCCAGGGTCCCGTAGGGTTTAATATCATCGCAGTAAAGTTTGCAGCGAATCTGAAAGATGGGAGGGGTGGGCAGTGCTGCCCCCCTGGTCATGCTGTCATAGGACGCAGGGGAACTGCAGCTGACTGTCAACTGGAGTCGAGGGCTCCGGCTCGCTGGGGGTGGGGAGGCCTGTTTGCTTGGGGCCCGAAGGCCAGGAGCTTCCTTTGGTGGCTCGAAAGCATGATTTAGGAGAGAAAGATTTTGTTTAAAAAGTCCCCTGCCTCCGAGATAAGGGCCAGGCCGCTGTGGTCAGAGTTTGCTGTAAATGTTCCGAGCAAAGCAGGCTGGAGCGAGAACTGGGAAGTTTGGGGAACAGATTGATCACGTGCTAAGAGCACGGCATTCCCCTTTGAAGTGAAACCTTCTGGCTGCATTTAAGCAGCCAGGCAGATGGCGTAAGGGTGTTTTGTAGCCTACGCACTGGTTAAATGTCAGCCGTACCCAGACGGGCTTCAAGGGAAGATTCAAAATCAGGCTGCCCGAGAGACTCAGTGGTCTGAAGCATGGTTGCTGCTGATTTCACAGGGTGATAAAGGGACACGGGTCCTGGAGGCCTGGTCCAGTACAGGCAACGCCCCTGCCTGTCACCCTGAATGCTGGGGCTGGGGCTGGGCTGGTCTGTGTGAGGCTGGCAGGAGTGCAGGGAGTCCAGGGGAGTCCCAAAGGGCCCTCTGCCCCTTTGGGCCGGTTCCCTGTCAGAAGTCCCTGTGACCCTGCCATCCCGCAAAGGGAACTGAATGAACTCTGTCATTCCACAGGATCTAACAGGGTCTCAGGGGAGTCTCAGGGAGTCTCCATTGCAGGCCTGGAGGCAAGGAAGCAACTGGCTCAAGGGGTCTCCTGGGGGGCCCTGGGGTGGTCGCTCTGATATTTAAACGGAAATGACAGGCAGGGAGCCATCAAGGGCAAGACCTGGGGGAGGCCGTCCAGGCAGAGAGGACAGCTATGCAGGAGGAGGCCGGGGGCGCCGAGTGAATAGGTGAGGCTGCAGCGGTGGGTAGAGGCCAGGCACCTGGGACCTCGGCGACCTCGGTAAGGAATCTGTACTCGACTCTTAAGCTGTGGGAGGTGACGTAGTCTGATCCCATTTTTAAAGCCTTGCCGTGATTTCTAGGGCGAAGGGAAGTGAGAGCAGAACAGGCAGGTCAGTTGGGAGGTTTTGCAGGAATGCAGGGGAGAGGGGACCACGGCAGGGCACGAGCCAGTTGTTAAGCACAGTCATTATTAAAATTTTAATTATATATTAAGTGTATACAATATAAAATACGTGATTTCCACTTCATACAATGTATGTTTTATGAAAAACATACGATCAAAAATAAATTATTATTTAAAATTAAATTCTATGGAATTATCATACAATCCAGCAATTCCATCTCTGAGTGTACCCCCAAAAGAATTAAGTGCAAAGACTCAAAGACACGTTTGTAAGCCCATGCTCGTAGCAGCATTATCCACAATAGCCAAAAGGTGGAAGCATCCCAAGTGTCCATCGATGGACGAATGGATAAACAAAATATGGTATATGCGTACAATGGAATACTATTCAGCCTATAAAAAGGAGGAGTTTCTGACACACGCCAAAACATGTGTACCTAGAATAACAAACGTTGAAGACATTGCACTAAATGGAATACGCCAGACACAAGGACAAATATTACGATTCCACCTTACATGAGGTACCTTGTGTAGTCAAATCTGTAGAGACAGCAAGTAGCATGGTGGTTGCCAGGGCCTGGGGTGAGGAGGGGAAATGGGGAGCTACTGTTTAATGACAGTAGAGTTTCCGTTTGGGGATGATGAAGACAGTTTTGGAAATGGATGGGGGTGATGGTTTTACAACAGCGTGAATGCACTTAGTGCCACTGAACTGTACACTTAAAGGTGTTTGAAATGGTAGTGTTTTTTTTTTTTTTTTTGCGGTACGCGGGCCTCTCACTGCTGTGGCCTCTCCCGTTGCGGAGCACAGGCTCCGGATGCGCAGGCCCAGCGGCCATGGCTCACGGGCCCAGCCGCTCCGCAGCACGTGGGATCCTCCCGGACCGGGGCACGAACCCGCGTCCCCTGCATCGGCAGGCGGACTCTCAACCACTGCGCCACCAGGGAAGCCCCAGATTTTATATTATATATATTTTACCACAATAAAAATGCATCGCTCTATTAGAAAAAATTATAAAATTAAATCGTAGATGTATATGGTATGAATTAAATTACTTACAAGTAATTATATTAAGAACAAAGATAATACACAAAGCTCACCCCTTCCGAAGTATCTTACTACATTTAACCATCATCTTTGTTCTTTTTTTCTTTTTGAGTTAATTTATTATTTATTTATTTATTGGAGAAAAGTTGCTTTACAATGTTCTGTTAGGTTCTGCTGTACAATGAAGTGAATCAGCTATATGTATACCTATATCCCCTCCCTCTTGGACCTCCTTCCCCCCACACACACATCCCACCCATCTAGGTCGTCACAGAGCACCGAGCTGAGCTCCCAGTGCTGTACAGCAGGTTCCCACTAGCTATCTGTTTTATACATGGTAGTGTATTTATGTCAAACCTAATCTCCCAATTCGTCCCACCCTCCCCTTCGCCCTCTGTGTCCACATGTCTGTTCTCTACATCTGTGTCTCTATTTCTGCCCTACAAATAGGTTCATCTGTACCATTTTTCTAGATTCCACATATATGCGTTAATATATGATATTTATTTTTCTCTTGCTGGCTTACTTCACTCTGTAGGACAGACTCTAGGTCCATCCACATCTCTACAAATGACCCAATTTTGTTCCTTTTTATGGCTGAGTAATATTCCATTGTATATACGTATCACATCTTAACTCCAGATGGATTAAAGACCTAAATTTGAGACCGGACACTATAAAACCCTTACAGGAAAACATAGGAAAAACACTCTTTGTCATAAACCACAGCAAGATCTTTTTTCACCCATCTCCTAGAGTAATGAAAATAAAAACAAAAATAAACAAATGGGACCTAATTAAACTTAAAAGCTTTTGCACAGCAAAGGAAACCATAAACAAGACGAAAAGACAACCCTCATAATAGGAGAAAATATTTGCAAACGAAGCAACGGACAAAGGATTAATCTCCAAAATATATAAACAGCTCATGCAGCTCAATAACAAAAAAACAAACAACCCAATTAAAAAATGGGCAGAAGACCTAAATAGACATTTCACCAAAGAAGACATACAGAGGGCCAAGAGGCACTTGAAAAGATGTTCAACATTACTATTAGAGAAATGCAAATCAAAACTACAATGAGGTATCGCCTCACACTGGTCAGAATGGCCATCATCAAAAAATCTACAAACAATAAATGCTGGAGAGGGAACCCTTTTGCACCATCGGTGGGAATGCTGATACAGCCACCATGGAGAACAGTATGGAGGTTCCTTAAAAAACTAAAAATAGAACTACCATATAACCCAGCAATCCCACCACTGGGCATATACCCTGAGAAAACTGTAATTCAAAAGGACACATGTACCCCAGTGCTCACTGCAGCACTATTTACAACAGCCAGGACAGGGAAGCAACCTAAATGTCCAACGATAGATGGACGGGTCATCTTCGTTCTCGAGTCCTTCACCTCTGCTGTATCTCTATGGTAGAGACACTGTATAACGGCAGGTACTGCAATCTCTTCCCAGCCCCAGTTTCTTTTTTTTTTAAATTAATTTTTATTGGAGTGTAGTTGATTTACAAGGTTGTATTAGTTTCAGGTGAACAGCAAAGTGAATCAGTTATATATATACACATATCCACTCTTTTTTAGATTCTTTTCCCGTACAGGTCATTACAGAGTACTGAGTAGAGTTCCCTGTGCTCTACGGTAGGTCCTTAATAGTTATCTATTTTATATATAGTAGTATGTATATGTCAATCCCAATCTCCCAATTTATCCCTGCCCACCCTTCCCCCCAGTAACCATAAGTTTGTTTTCTACATCTGTAATTCTATTTCTGTTTTGTAAATAAGTTCATTTGTACCATTTTTTAGTTTCCACATATAAACGATATCCAGTCCCAGTTTCAACGGTGTCTCATTGGTAGCCCCAAACTGGCCAAGATGGGAACACTTACACCGCAGAACTAGGCAAATGCTACATATCAGGTACAGTTGTTTTGCTGGTTGTTAAACCTTAGGCAGCATACCTCTGGCAGAGGGGGTGGGCTGGAGAGGGGGAACTTGAGGAGGGAAGTAGACTGATCCACGGATATTTCTGAGGCAGACGCTTCCTGATGGCTTGGATGTGGTGGGGAGGGAAAGGGAGAACTCGAGGGTGATGCCTTGAGTGGCTAGGTAGATTCTGGTGCCATTTACCGAGATGGTGGGCTGAAGGGGCTTGGGGGCTGTGGAAGGCTCAGCAGCCGATGGACCCGAGGCTCTGGGGCTCAGGGAGGCCCTGCGGGGCGCTAGGTGCACGTAGAGCTGAGACCATATGGCCCCTGCCCCAGAGGAGCCAGATGGTCCACTGCATGGGGTGTCCGGTTCAAAGGCCTGGTTTTGCTGGGCAAAGGGCCACCATCCTCCCTCTGCTCCCCATGCCACCCCCCTGGAGCGTGGGGTCAGGGGTACTGATGGGTGAGCCAAATGGCTGTTTCTGCCCATCTACTTCCTCCTCCCATTCTCCCCATGCTTTGCAAGGGTCACTCCACCTGGGCTGGACCTGTGGGGTTTCCCTTCAGGCCTGCTCCTTCCATCTCCAGAAAGGCTTCATATTTATACCTTTCTCACCCAGCCCTGGCCTCCAGCTTTCCTGATGAAAACTTGCTGTCTGAGTGCCCCCGAGCCCCCTCGGGACTGCCACCTGCTGGCCAGCGTTCACTGCCGACTGCAGGATTTGGGGCTTATGAGACATCTTTGGGAGAGGCAGCTTTGGCCTAAAGGGATGATTCAGATGGGAATTTAAGGTCTGTAGGAGTGTCCTGGGGCTGCTGTAACAAAGAACCACAAACTGGGAGGGGCTTAACAGGACAAAAAATTATTCTCTCTCAGTTGGAGACCAGGAGCCTGAAATCAAGGTGTCAGCAGGGCAAGCTGTCTTCGAAGGCTCTGGGAAAGAGTCCTGCTGCTTCCAGCTTCTGGGGTCCCAAGTGTTACTTGATTTGTGGCTGCATCACTCCCATCCCTGCCTCTGATTTCACGAGGCCCTTTTCTCTGCGCCTCTGTGTCTTCTCCTTTTTGGTCTCTATAAGGACACTGGTCATTGGATTCAGGGCTCACTCTAATCCAGGGTGATCTTGTCTCAAGATCCTTAGCTTCATTCGTCTGCAAAGATCCTTATACCAAGTCAGGTCTCATTCTGAGGTTCGGAATGGACATATCTTTTGGGGGGCCCACCATGCACCCCACTACATGTCTCATGGTGGACCTGTGAGGTAGGTGGCCCCTCTGATGTCCCCCTGATCACACCTTCCCTTGGGCCAGGCCTACAAACGGTCTTGCCTTCCCCCGTGGCCTTGGGAGAGCGCACCATCACAGAATTTGGACGCATTGCAGTTCTTTTGCTCTCGCCAAATTTAAGCTCATTTTCTTCCCTCTTCTGCTGCTGCTGCTGATTTTATCTGCCCAGCGCCCCTACCAGGACTGTCTGTCCAGACCCCGGCCCTGACTGCTCATGCCCTGGGACAGGGGGTCAGGGCACCCTCCCCATCCTACAGGGATCAGGCCTTATTAAAGTCCTGGAGCCCCAATTTGGACACAGTCATCAGAAGTGATCAAAGGATGGGGGATGATTAAAGGGCCGGGGCCAGATGATTTAAGCTGAGGAAGAGAAGGCCAAGGAGCAACTGGATTGTCTTCGAGTTTGGAGGAGGTAATTATTACTCGAAGGGTGGTGCCCAGCTGTTTCCCATCTCCTCTGAGGACAGAAAAAAAGAGGAAATAAATGATGTACAATTAGAGCGGTTGGTTAGATACAAGGGTGAACTTCCTGGCTGGGAGTGTGGCCAAGTGCCGGGGTCGGTTTCCTCAGGGAACAGGGGGGAATCTCCTTACCTGGAGGTGTCTAGGCCTGGCAACGGCAGCCTCAGTGGTTAAGTGAAGGGGGGCCAGAGGCAGGCAGGGGGATGGACTGGACGGGGTCTGGAGCACAGTCCTGCCAACATTCTGGCCCTGGAGGTCTGCTCCCTCCTGCCATTGTCCTTTGGGTTCCCATAGGGGAGCATTTTGGTGAGGCATGCACCCTGGCTGGGCTCCCTGAGGAGATAAGCTTAAGTATGTTTAGCGCCACTGTGAATGGAAGTGAATAATGCACAATAAGCCAACCTATTCGAATCCGGTAGAACTCCAGGCCAGCGCCCTGGAAGAACAATCGCATGGGTGTGTCTACGCTCACCAGGTGCTTTTTATAAAAACACTGGAGAGTAATGCTGTGGCCCAGGCTGGATGCTGTCCTGTCTCTGAGACCCAGCATCTTCCCAGGGGGTTATGGCATTAGGCTGTTTCTTAGAGGCAGTGGACCACCAAACCCCCAAATACTGGGTGGGCAGGTGGCCAGAAGATTGGACTATCGGGTGGGCCCAGGTGCTGGTTTTCAGACAAGAAATGCCCCGGGCTGGTGTGGAAGCCACCAGGGGTGCTATTAATGACAGTGGCGACTCCATTTCTGAAACCCCAGCTCCCAGGCAGAGGGTGTGTGCACATCTGAAATGTCTGTGGTTTTGCAGTTCCTTGTCCATAAACTCACTTGGTTGAAAATAGTTCAAAATATCCAAAGCATGGGGGAGGGAGAGACTGCTTTTCTTAAAAAGGAAGGACTCGATTTCATCAACTTCAAAAATCTCCTCATGCCCAGCGCATTGCACTCTCCGCGAGAGGCCCTGATTAACCGGGATGGCGGTCAGGCCTCAGCATCCCCTGCACATTTGGGATCTTTCAGAACTGGGGGCGTGGGGGCTGGGAGGGGAGTGGCAGTGACCAGTCTGAGACCCAGGACGAGCTCTCGGGCACTCGCATGCCACCCGGAGGGCACCGTATTGCCGAATTGCCCACCAGCTCAGAGAGCGTCTTTCCCTGCTGTTCTCACACAGGCCCCCGACTTGGGGCAGAGGCCCTGGGTCTAAGAAAATGGGAGGATAGGCAGGAGTGCCTAACTGGCTGGGGGGATTGGAAGAGACCCCCTCCCCCCATTGTTGGTGCCAGACCTGGAGGGCCCTTCCTGGCTGCTCTTCAAGTTCCAGCCCATCCTTTTGTCCCCAGCCCTTGGGACCTGACTGCCTTGTAGGTAATAGGGCTTAATCAATGTTTGTCGAATGTACGGAGAAGGGTAGAAATTAACTGGCCGGGAGGGCAAGGCCAGGCCTGAGGTGTGGGCCAGATGGGGCCGAGCCTCACCGGCAGGCCCCTTGCTCCCCGTCCCCTCCCCCAACGCCTCCCTTCAGATACTTTGAAATATCTGCGCCTTACCAGGGAGAACATGGGGTCTACGCTCTGCCTTCAGGAAGCCCCTTGTTGTGCAGCGTTGGAGTGGCACGTGTCCCTGGCGGTTCTGACAAGGGTGTTCCGTCCCTGCCCCGCGTCCCCGGTGGGCCAGCGCCTTTTCTGACACCGCCCCCGAGGGTGCAGCAGCGACCTCGGGGGCGGTGGGCTGGGGGTAGGGAGCAGCTGGAGAGGTGCCCCAAGAGGGTGGGATTTGGCGCCCCCCTCCCCGCCCCGGGTCACGTGACTGGCGCTCGCCCCTCGGCTCTTGGCCAACATGCTGGGCTCCTGCCGGCCGCCAGTCCGAGCGCTTAACCTTTGGAGGCGCTGCGCGCGGGAAGGCGGCGGCGAACTTTGTTTGGCTGCGTAAATAAAACCTCCCGCAGAAGGAACCCTGCGCCCCAGGGAAGGGGAGGAATCTCTTCCCCCCTCGGCGCCGCCCCCGCGCCGCCGCCCGACCTCCACATCCGCCCACATCTGGCCTCAGCGGGGCGTCGGGGGGGGAGGGCGCCGGGGCCGCGTCCGTCGCCGTCCCCTGGGCGCGGGCCAGGCGGGTAGAAGGGGGGCTCTCGGGTCGGGCGCCCGGGACTCGGCCTGTCCCCGCGGCGGCCGCTCGGGTCCCAGCCCCCCAGGCCCAACCTTGACAGGCGGGCGGAGCAGCCAGTGCGAGAAGTGGAGGCCGGGCCGCGGGTGCGGGAACCTGATCCGCCCGGGAGGCGGGGGCGGGGCGGGGCGGCGGCGCGGGGAGCAGGGAGCGCCGGCGCCCGCCCGCCTCCCCCATTCATTCAGCCGAGCCCGGGGGCCGAGGGGCTCCGGCGGCCAGCTCTACACGGCGGGAGCGCGGGCGCGGCCCCCCAGCCAGCGCGCAGGGCCCGTGCCGGCCGGGGCGCTTCATTGCCGCCGCCCTCCGCGCGTCGCGCCGCCCGCGAGCCACCATGTCCGACCCCGCGGTCAACGCGCAGCTGGACGGGATCATTTCGGACTTCGAAGGTGGGTGCCGGCCGGCCACCGCGCCGCGGGCGTGCTCGGGGCCCCCTCGGGGCGGACCTCAGGCGAGACGGGGGCGCGGACGGGGAGGGAGGACCCCGACGGGGTGCCCTCCCGCCGCGCCCCCCGCCCCGCGCCCGCGTCGCCTCCGTGGAGCACCCCGTTAGGGGGACACGGGGACCGCGCGCCCTCGCTGGCCCTTGCGCTCGCCCTGCGCGCTGCCGCCGGGTTTCCTTCCTTTTATTGTTGTTTGTGTTTGCCGAGCGACGACAGTCTCCTCGAGGGCTCGCGGGGCTTCCTCAAACGGCCCTGGCGCGCGGTTTCCCTCTCAGCTGTCGCTCAGTCCTATCCCTCCCGCGCTCCCCGTCGGCCTCGGGGCCCTGGCCCTGCGGCGGGTTGGGGGAGTTCGCTACCCGCCCCCGCGTCCCGCCCGCAGGACAGCCCCCTCCCCCACACCAGTTTCGGAGCCGGGGCTGAGCCGAATCCGGGCTGGGCAGGGACCCGAGTGGACACGGCCCAGGCCGCGGCGAGTGTAGAGGGGGGCGTCCCATCGGCCCCCATCCGGGCCTGGGGACATCCTCCTCGTCCTCCCGGAGTCCGGCTGTGGGGGGAGGAGGGGCCTGCTTGCTGGTTGGGAGCGCGTTTTGGTCCCCTCCCCCCTCCTGGGTTTACAAAGTGTTGAGAGACTTGGGGGGCTTCTCCCGCCGGGTGCGGTAGGGCATCCCGGTCCTGGGCTCGTGTGTGTGGCTTTCGTGCGTCCTCGTGACTGCCTGTGGCTCTGCGTCCTGCGTCTTGGGGATTAAATAAAGCGGTCGGAAGGGAAGCTCACACAATAGTCTCCAGCACTTAGGGGCCGGATTTCTGAGGGGCGGGTCTGCCTCTGCTGGGATCTGGAGCCCCCGCCCCTCGGAGGGGCTCCCAGGCAGCCTTGGGCAGAGCCCTCTGGTGGACCTGGCCTTGGGAAGGCTGGGTTGAAAGGAGTTAACAGACGTCCAGGTGCCAGGCCTTGCGGGGAGGTCCCCTTCCCCCAAGGGCAGAATCAGGACTGGGATCTTCTTGGGGGTCCAGAGCCCAGCCATGCACGTGGCCCACCGGAGGTCAGCCCCATCGGCGGGGGGCACTTCTCCGGGACCAGAGCTTGGCTGCGCCCCCAGCAGAGCCCCAGAGGCGGTGATTCTGGGCTGGGCCTGGACTGGCTTAGCAGGGGGTGGAGAGACAGGAGGGGGTGGGGTCCAGTGGCCGGCTTGCCCTGTGCGAGGGATGGGTCTGCTGGGGGCTGGCTCTGTGGTTGGAGCACTTTTCCGACTCTGACACTGGGCACTGAACAAGGGGAGTGTGGGTCTGCAGAGCTGTGATGGCTTGTACCCCAACATCGGGACCTCTTGGGGCGCATGCTCATACCCAGCATGTTCCCCGAGTCTCCTTCCTTCTGTTTCGCCTTCTGGTTGCCCCCAGCAGCCCTCCCGCAGCTCCTCAGGGGCCTTTCATCTCCTGAGTGTCGGAGCGGGAGAACTGGCCCATCTGGAGACTGCTGCCGCCTTCAGGTTCCGCGCTGTGTGTGCTTTTCTCCTGTGGCCTGTGGGAGTTAGGTTGGCTTGCGGTCCCTGACCTGGAAGCAGAGCTTTCTGGGGTTTCAGGGGATGAGATGGGAGCCCTGAGGCAGGATTGGGAGGAGGAGGTTTGGGGGTTGTGTGGTCTGTCACAGTTCGTGCCACGAAGGTAGTTAGTGCCCCTCCCTCCCGGCCCCGCGTGCGACTCCATCCTCACCCCGAAGTGCCCCATCTGGAGACGCTGGTGGCCTCTGAGGCTGCTTCCCAGGCGGCTTCTGGAGGCTGTCATTTAGTTGGAGACAATGGCCTCATTGAGACTGTCCTGGTGCAGCAGTTGGCAACCCTGTGCCATCGGGGGGAGATTTCTCACTCTTAGGGAGCGCGGCCTCGGACCCCCCCGGTTCCCTGTGTGTCAGCCTCTCCGTTGTGTGCCCTGGAGAGCCGTTGTGCTCTGAAGACAGGAGAGTTAGAGCCCCCCAGTGCACCTGGGCATGTGCGCGCGCGCGTGTGTGTGTGTGTGGGCTCCGCACGGCCAGCTTGGGGACCAGAAAGGCGGCCTCCCTGAGAGCCCCAGGAACTTGGAGTGGAGTTGGGTTTTGGGGCTGATAGCCTCAAACAGAGAGACGTGGGAAGGAGCGATCAGGAAAGGAGGAGAGTGCCTGACCCAGAGCGGCAGTGGGTGATACAGGCTGGCAGAGCCAGGGCAGAGGAAGGCCGTGTGGAGGAGACACAGTCTGACTGCAGCGGAAGGAGGAGCGCGTTCAGGCAGCTACAGAAGCGGGGGAGGCAGGAATGAGCTGATCCATTAGGACTGGGACATAAAGAGGGGCCAGCTTGCCACAGTCGGACGGCGAGGCCACGGAGGCCCAGGTGTGCCCATCCGCAGGGAGCCCGGACCGTCCTGGGGAGGCAGCCGGAGTGGTCGAGCTCGGAGCCGAAGTGCTGGTCTGTTTCTCTGGGGCCAGTGGGGGGCCTCGGCCCGGGCTGCCCACTCCGCGTCTCAGTTTCCGCGAGGTAGGGTCAAAGTCTCAGTAGTTCCTGAGGCTGGCGGACCTGGCCCCGTCTCGAAGCACATGTCGATGGCCGAAGGATGGAGGCCCCAGGGGCCACCACCAAAGCCGGGCGAGTTCTGAGCCACGGCGTTGCTGGGGATGACTGTACGTCTGAGCAGACTGGAATCCTGCAGCGGGGGTCGACGGGCTCTGATGGGGTGTTTCCTGGAGGTTTGGGGTGATGGCAGTATCCAGGCCAGAGCAGCATGCCCTGCAGGGCAGACAGATAGCTGCCCCAGGTGGATATGCATGTGGGGGGGGGGTATGGAACGGGCACCCACCGTTAAATTCTGCTGATGCCCCACATCCCGGGCACATCCACCCCCTTCCCTGAGGAACGCTCTTCTCTTTTCATCCTATTATTCCTGCCCGTCCCCTTCCCCACCCTGGAGAATTGAGGGCGAGATCTTTAAGCTTCATCACATCACCGAGGTGGCACAGGGATTCAGCCTGTCTTCTATTTTGGACACGTCTTTGGATTCAGGTCTCCCGGGGGACTGAGAGGGTGGCAGTGTCCTCCATGGATGCAAACCTCCCACACTGGTCTTTGCTCTCGCCCTAAGGAGGATCTCAGGGCTCCGTGGAGACCCTCATGTAGGGGCAAGAAAAGTATTTTGTGTTTTGCTGATGCGATTTTTTTTTAGAGAGTCTCCTTTTCCGCTTCCCCCTGTTTGAAGATGGGCCTCAGGTGGCTTCCGCGCCCGTCACTCCCTGGGTGATGGGGTGGCCCGAGCGGTGACGTAGTCCCCTATCTGGCTGCCAGGCACAGAGCAGGGGAACGGCGTGTTCTCTAGTGAACGCAGGCCAAATCTGCTATCGCAAACGCTATTACAACCCTGGTCTTTGTGTAACAAAAGCCCTTCCAAGTGCTAGCTGTTGGCCTACTTTCCCTAGCAGTGTTTGCTGTAACCAGATTTGCACACGGAGAAAGAATCCTAAAAGTCCTTGATGTTGGTTGAAACACAGTCTGGCCCAGGACCCAGGAGCTCCGGACCCAGAGCCTTGTTCTCCCGCCTAGAGGACATGTCTGCCCTTCTGAACCCTCTGCCGTCTCCTCGAGGACCCTGCCAGCCAGGTCCTGGAGCCCAAGCAGGCCCTAGGCCCCAGAGCATGAGCACGGGCAGAGGGCAGGGAGAGGGTCTCCTGGGGAGACGAGACCATGCGGATGCACCTGCTTGTCTGGGAGCCCAGACACCTCCTGGACAAGGGCTCCCTCGATGGCTGGATTCGGGTGCCCGTTTCCTCCCAGGAGGACAAGGCCTAGCTTTGTGACAGGTGCAGATCTGCCCCTAATTAATGCCAGTTGGCCTCTTGAGGGATGAGTCCTGCTTTTCAGCAAGACTCGAGGCCTCCTGTGAATTCAGCCTCCCGCAGTTCTCATCTGGTGGCAGGAGACAGGATCTATGGCGGCGTGAGGTTACTTGGTGGACCGGAGGAGCCGGCCTTGCCGGCATTCTGCTGGACTCTTGGGGGATGAGTCCTGCTTTTCAGCTACGGGGGGACGGCTCTCTGACGGCTCTGACCACCACCGGCTTCGTTGGCCTGCTGCTCTCGTGTCCCGGGCCCGGGACTAGGCTCACCCACCGTCCTGATTGTGAGGCAGATGGCGGACACACACGTGCCAGGTGGCAGAAGCGTCCCCGTCATCGGCTGGGCTGAGGGTCAGACGTGGGCCAGGGAGGTGGGTCCAGCAGGGAGGACACCCCGTGCTGTGGGGCGTCAGTCTGGAAAGGCTTCCTGGAGGACATGGATCTCTAGGAAGGTATTTTGTTGTTTTGGTTTTTTTGGTTGTGCCACGTGGCTTGTGGAATCTTAGTTCCCAACCAGGGTTCGAACCTGGGCCCTCGGCAGTGGAAGCGCGGAGTCTCAACTGCTGGACCGCCAGGGAAGTCCACGTAGGAAGGTTTGAAAGAGACAAGTGGGCAGAGTTTGCATCCAAAGGGAGAGGGCCTTTGGGGGAAGTGATGGGTAGGGCAGCTGGGAGCCCCGCGCGGTGTAATGCTTGGGAGGGCAGGCTCACTCTGCCATTGGACAGCTGGGTGGTGGAGGGTGTCTTGGCCCCTGAGCCTCAATTTCCCCTTCTGTTGAATGGGGTCATAAACACCGCTGCCCGCGGGTCGTCTCGGGGAGGTAGCCGACAGCCTGAGCCTGGTGCCTGCTCGCGGGAGCAGAGCTTGAGGTGGGGGGTCAGGTATTTGCAAGAAACGGGTGGGCGTGGACGCCTAAATGCAGGAATCTGGGTGACGGAAGGGGGGTTCAGAGGCCACCGGCAAGGGTCTCCCTGAGTGGTGATGGGGTGGTGAGTGAGACTGTGTGGCATGGTCAGCACAGCAGATTCGGAGCCTGCCGGGGGGTCCCCCTGAGTCCAGCAGATACTTGGGCTGCCGGCCAGCGTGGGAGCCCTGGCCCCAGCCCAGTGGACATCCCATCACGCTCTTTCACTGTCAGAGCTTGGAGGCTTGGGTCAGGTGGGCTGCAGGGTTCCTTCACTGGGGAGGCCATTCCAGTCTCCTCTGCATCCCCCCACCCCAGAGCATCCCAGATGGGTGGACCAAGGGCCCGTCCTACAGACAGCGACCCAGGCGTACGCTGGGCGACCTGACTTTGAAGATAGTGGGGTGTGGCCGCCCGCCCGTGGCTCTGCTGGCTGCCAGCCTTCCTGAAAGGGAGTCGTAACTGGGAGCTGGTTGTGTTGCAGACCAGGAGCTAGG